GTCACAATAACCGGAAAACAAAGAAAATTTCAAAATTCAAGAAATGCGAGCACTTGAATTCCATGAAAAAATATGCTCATCAAACACCTTAAAAGTTGAAAAATATTGTTGAAATTTCATTTTCCATGAAAAATTTGGGTATATCAAACACACCCTTACTTTCTCAGTACCTTTTTCTTCGTCTCAATTCCTTTGCATTTTCTACCAAATAATTTCTTCTTGTCCATTCATTATAATTTCACTTCCATTACTCAACTTCAATCTTTCAGAAAATCATCATTTGCTTACAGCGAAGATTATTCTTTTCCCCCTTAGACCCAGTTCATGATTTGTAATGTTTGTATCTAAGTGAAGTGGTTTTCGAGAATTTTTTAAAGGTTTGACTTGCTTTTTTTCTGAGGAAAAATGGGAATTGAGTTGGAAGATGGAGGAGAGTATTCGTTTGCGACGTAATTTTACGAACCTAGTTAATGGGCCTAATGTTTTTCTTTTAAAAAAGGTCCAACTAAACAAAAGGCCCAAATTTTTTTTAATAAAAATGGCCAAACTAAACTCTTATCCTCCCCATCTCTATCTTCACATCATGGCAATTGGTGTCTAGTTTGGCGGTGCCGTTTGAAAGTCCAACATGTAAATTTCGACGGAACCAACATGAATCATCACATCACTTCGTCGGGTGCTGGCTCCACTTCGCTCGTACTTTACATTGTTTTACCCTCATTTTCTCTTTTTTTTAAACTCATTTTCAGTAGCTCAATTATACATTTTATGAGATTCACTATTTTTAATAATTATTTTAATTATATCTTTCACTAATTTTTATCAAAATTTACTAAAAATTTAATTCTCTCGACCCCAAACAAGGGCAAATAGACATTATGACAGTGGACTTCAAGTCTCCAATTTCTTCAACCACTATTTGGTAAAAGACTGATTTGCCAATGTATAATGATGAAGTGGAAAACTATCTTGACAAAGGGCGAATAAACATTATGTCAGCGGACCTCAAACCTCCAATTTCTTCAACCACAAGTTGGTAAAAGATTGATTTGCCATTGTATAATGATGAAGTGGAAAAATATCTTCACTAGGTAAAATTTCAAGAAAAGCATTTAGGGATAAAATGGTAAATACAACCTTCATGAAAATTTTGTAAACTTTGAAAATGTTGTTTAAACATCAATGAACATCATTCATTAATATTCAATCCATTAATTTGGACAGAATTAAGTAAGTGATAAACGAAATTCATATGCCGAACAAATTGTATTCGAATTCTTCGACAAGTAAAGGATGATCCAAAGCTAAAAATTCATTTTTAACTACACTTCCTTCTAATAAAATAATCTTACACATAAACTTAAATTATTTTTTTAAATATTTTTTAACCATATATTCTTTAAAAAATTACTATTACAAAATATATTTTCAATAAAAATAGACTCAAACACACCTAAAGAACTTTTTTTTAGGGAAAAAATAAATAAAATAATGGAATGACTCTTTAAAGTAAGGGCTTGTTTGATTGGTCCATTTTTTTGGAAAATGGAATTCATTTTTCACCATTTTTTTGTGCTTGATTGTAAGAAATTTTCATGGAATTTGTTTTCCAACTTTCTTCCACACGTGCCATTTCCATGGTTTTGTGGAAAACCAATTCTCACCATCTATTCTCACCATATTGGTGAGAATTGGTTTTTCAGTTCCTTTTTTTTTAAATTTTTTTGGACAATTAGAATAAATTTTATCTCCAATTGCAACAAATTTTATTTCTTTAATTGACAATTTTCATGAAAAGTAAAGTCAAACGAACACCAAAAGATAGAAAATTTCAATATTTTTCAGGTGAAAGATTATACCAATCAAATACATTAATTGATAATTCTCGAGAAAATAAATTTTAAGTAATTCAATTTTTTAAAATTTATTTTTTTATTCAAATTTTATTTCTACAATCAAACGAAGACTAAAAATTTTGCTATTTTACCAAATAGGATTCACCCTCTCTGAACCCTCTCAACAGGATGGTCTCCATGCAGGACCCACCTGTATAAAAAGTATAAAAAGTTGGGCTAAAATCCACCCACCCGTAAATGATGGGAATGGTCGGTAGGGGTATCTGTACGTCAAGCTTCGTCCAATGAATGCTCATAGGTGCAGAAAGCAACTCACAACTCCCACGGGCAAACCCCCTACTTTCACCCAAATTCATTTCTCCACCGCTTTATAGATCAAATTTTCCCGTTAATCTTCATTTTTGTTGTTGTTGTAAAGATCTGACTCTTTCCACTTTAAACCCACATAATTTTATTTCACATTCTTCAGTTTTAGACGTTTTTCATTTTTGCTTTGCGTTTTCGAGAAATGATGAAGCTGAAGAACTATTAATCTTTGATTATTTTAGATTTTTAAGTAATATCATAACTTTCCACTCTAAACCCACATAATTTGATTACACGTTCATCGATTTTAGGTATTCCAATTTTTTTTTTCTTTTTTTTCTTGGTAATGAAGTTGGTGAAAAACTATTAATCTTTGATAATTTTAGATTTTTTATGTAAGGTCAGAAATTTCCACTGTAAACCACATAATTTGGTTTCACATTCTTCAATTTTGGGTATTCCTTGTCGATTTTGCTTTGCATTTTATTGCATTGAAGTACCTGAAGAACTATTTAATCTTTAATAATTTTAGATTTTTTTAAGCAAGATCAGAATTTCCCACTCCAAACCCACATATTTTTATTCCACATTCTTCAGTGAACTATTATTCCACATTTTAGTGAAATGAAGAAGTTCAAGAGCTATTATATGCACTTGAGGCACCCACGATCACTGGAGAGAAAATGGATCTTCCCATTAGCAATTTGTTCAATTTTCTCATTGTTTCTTCTTTTCTTAACAACCATAACCTCGCCGGATGGCGGGATGAAATTCTACCGGTATTTATCCTTCTCTGCTACTGCCTCGGCCAACACCACCACGACGTCTATTTTTGTGGAGTCTAAACTCATGCCTATCCCAATTTCTAGCCTCCCTTCTCCGCCGCGATTGGCATACTTAATATCTGGCTCAGCCGGCGACGGTGCCATGCTCCGCCGTACCCTCCAGGCTCTCTACCACCCGTACAACCAGTATGTAATCCACCTCGACGGGGAGTCGAAAGCCGAGGAACGGCTCAATCTGTATAATTACGTAAAAACTCATCCTGTTTTGGGGAAATTTAAGAATGTTCGGATGATTACCAAGGCTAACTTGGTGACTTATCGTGGGCCGACAATGGTGGCGAATACACTACATGCAGCAGCCATTTTGCTGAAGGAAGGTGGAGATTGGGATTGGTTTATAAATCTCAGCGCTGCTGATTACCCACTGGTTACTCAAGATGGTACTAAATTAATGTTAATGATTAATGTATATTCACTTTTTTAAGTTTTTAGCTTATTTTGAGTCCTGCGGACTTGGGCTTGACTTGGATTTTTGATATTTTTTTTCCTTGGTTTTGGGTTTTGAATGATAATTAGATATGCTTCATACATTTTCATACTTGCCGCGGGATCTTAATTTCATTGATCATACAAGTGATATAGGATGGAAAGAGTAAGTGAGATTTTGTTTTGGATTATTCTGTTCTTTATTGTGTAATTTCATGATTTGTGCACGTGGTTTATTGACTTGTGTCATTTGATATATTTTAGGTTTCAGAGGGCGAAGCCAATTATAATTGATCCAGGGCTCTACATGACAAAGAAATCTGATGTGTTCTGGATTACTCAGCGGAGAAGCGTGCCATCAGCATTTAAACTCTTTACTGGTTCGAATTTGGCATTTCTTACATGGCCTTTTTATTATATTTCCATAATTTGCTCTTTGTTTGTTCTTTCAATGTGAAGTGTGGTTATTTTTAGTTTTTTATCTGGATGAGTTGAGAATGCTTCGCCTTTTTTGCAATCCATTTTCCTACTTTTCATCATTGACAAATCTAGGGTTTTTGTTGTCCATCTGGATTTTTTCTTCAACTATGTTAAGCCTTTGATCTTTACTTGTCATTTCCAGTTTCTTTGTAAAAAGTTCAGACGTGCATTAAGACTGCCAAGATCTAGATTCTTTACTGATGTCGAAATCATTATTTTGTACTTCATTGTATGTAGAGCAATATGCTATGTGGTTTCTCTTGGTTTTCTTATAACACAGTGTTGTCTTGCGTGAGAGTCCGTTTATTACGTTTTCTATTTGTTTTAGTTTGAAAAAAAAAAAAAATTTGTGTATTAACTTAGCTCGAACAAAGTAATTCATATCCAATGATAATATTGTACATATCCTTGAGTTTAGGGGGTAACTTATTTTGCAAAAGTGCATTGCACCCCTCAGTTAGCATTATAGTCTTGTTTTCCTCAAGCTTTCTCTTGTTAGTGAGAATCTCCTTCATGAATTCTATGTAGCTGGGCATTTGTGTTAGAGCATTTGCAAATGAAATATTGATGTGCAGCTTTTTAAACATTTCAATGAACTTTGAGAATTGCTTGTCCAGTTTATGTTTATGCAGTCTCAGTGGAAATGGAATGGGAGGTACATATTTTATGATAGGAAAGGCCCCCTTAGCCTATGGTTTGTCTGAATTCTTTCACATTTTCCTCAGTTGATTTTTCAAATTCATCCACTTGCTCGTCATCTGTAGTAGGCATTGCCTATTCCTTTAGATTAGTTTCTGTGTTGCTAGATAGGGCTCCTTGCGGTCTTTCGAAGATAGTGCGGGCCAACTAACTTATTTGAGTTTCCACCCCTTTGATAACTGCTTAATGACTTTGCAAAGTTGTTTTAGTCTTTGCCATGTATTGGTCAGTCTTTTGTATAAAAATACAGAAGATATCTTCTAGAGAAGCTTTCTTCTCTTTCTATTGAAAATCAGGGAGGCTACTCATGACTATTTTGGTTGTCATTCCGGGAGAGGTTAGGATGATAACGCCACCCTAGGTTATGTGTTGCTGAATGCATTGTTATGTTGCTGTTGATAATTTTGTGCATGGTTAACTTCCACTGTCTCTTGCGATGAAATATGGCATTCTCCATTGTTGTGAGCTCCTCCACATCTACCACTAATAAAAAATTTATTTGCACTGCTTTGTTGAATTTCTCGCAATCAAGTGACCTATCTCCATCTTCTCTAAGACTGCCATCTGTGCTGATAATGCAGAGAGAGCATCTACCTCATGTGTATACCTGCGTGCTTCTTGCGTATGGCTTTTTCAGAAGGCCACAAGGCGTTGTTAGCTACCATTGTGTTATATAACTCCTCAACTTCATTGGGTAATTTCAATATGATCGATCCATTTGAAGCTGCATCCACTGATATATGGCATGCTATGTTTAATTCGGTGTAGAAGTACTGAACTTGCAAGTTTTTCTTAATACTATGATTAGGATACTTCTTGATCAAGTCCTTATACCTTTCTCATGCTTCATGTAAGCTCTCTAAATCGTCCTACTGAATGTGGAGATCTCGTGTCTTAGTTTAGTTACCTTCGACGGTGGAAAGTATTTTTTGACGATCTTATGTACAAAGATCATTCCAAGTCCTAATTCTTCCGGCCGATAGGTTATCAAACCATTCTCTTGCACCGTAGCTAAGTGCTTGTAGGAAGTCTCAATTTGAATGCTTCATCGAATATTCCATGAAAATTGTAGTTTTGGTAGACGTACAAGAAACATGAGATGTGATTATATGGATTCTCGTGAGACTTATGATAAGCCCCCGATTAGATTCACCTACACTAAACGCAAGGAGAGAAATAATAGCACCAAGGAGTGACCTAAAATGACACAGGCACAGAATACTCCAGAAGTTCATTTGGGCCCACTTATTTTGTTATAATGAGTTGTTTTGAATTTGTTAGCGAGTTGGTTAGATTAGTTACGGGAAGGGTTATATGTAAGGGTGGGAAAGAAGGGTAGAGATATCAAGAATTTACTAATTGCTGTAGTGGAGAATTCCCAGCTTCTTGAAGTGCTGGTTATCACGTTTCATTTGTAATTTCCA